GAAAGTTATACCTTTATGTTTTTTAAAAGTAATTTTCCATAAGAATTTTTACTTGACCTATGTCCTTAATGATAATTTGCCCATTTTTAACACACCCATTCTTCTGAATACTCCAGTAGTTATCAGTGAGAGGCGTTTTGTGCTTAATTCATTGAACACTGTGGAACATGTTCATTTATAACTCTTTCACTACTTCATTAACTGCCTTTGAAAGCATACACCAACATTAAAGTACTAAGTCTAAAGCTATAATCTAGCTGAAGTACAGCTGAAGTACATTTGATCTTGTCTAGATTTTTTTTTAAAAGCTAAGGTTTTTCAGAAAGTAATACCTAGCACCAAATTACTAGAAAGAATAACTTGGGGATAGCTAAGGTTTGTGGAATTTCAAGAAATAATTCTAATGATAATTACCAAATTGGTTTCTATTATTAGAAAACAAATATTAAGATACGTAATTACTTAGCTATTAGATTTTTGATAAATATGGATAATCAATAGTTATCACCATAACAATTTGTCAAAAATGTATCTGTAGATGCAGAATAATAAAATTCATTGGTTACATTTTAATGTAAAAAAAAAACCCTGTCTCTTTGTTAAGCTTTTAATTAAAATTAAGATTTCCAGAAACTGGACTCAGAAACAATCTCCTCAAGAATGAAATTTGTTTAAAACATCTCTAAAGTGAAACAGGGAAAAAAAGGAACAAGAGCTGATTTTTCCAATGTTTCACTTGCACTCCTAACCTGTAGGTAAATCTAGAAACTCTGTAGAACAGTATGTTGGCAGCTCTTGAACTTAGCTACTGTAAACTGATTTTCCCTACTGCCTATCATTTGGCATCATTAATCTTCATTAAACCAGTTTATCCCATTGAGCTTAAAGTCTCTTTCTTTTTAGAGACATGAAAATTGAAAAAGACATTTAAAACAAACAAGTCTTGTTTAAGTACTCTGTATGGGTGAAATATAACTCAGCACAGAATCTGCTGATCATATTCTACAGGGATTTTATCCAGGGCGAGAACATTCAGTACATTTGCTTTATATATAGTACTGTATATCACACCAAGCTGTATAAATGAAAATCTGTTGCATTGCCTTAAAATTAACTGTCATGCTTAATATAGCTTTTTAAATATTGATCCATTTCCTCCACCACACCACGCCTCCCCCAAATCCCTATGTTATTTGTGAGATAATAATAATACAAACATGGAAAAATATGGACATTCATAGTTAAGGATCAGTGATTTTGATAGCTGAACACAATCGGGGCAACAGAGAAGGCTAACAACCCTGATTTAGGAAAGCATCCCTATTTGAGATGGCGTGTAAGCATGTCACGTGCTTTCCTGAATGGAGAGATGGACCTAGGCAGATGTGCTAGTGCTTTTCTGAATTGGGGCCAAAGGTAATGGCCTATCTGCATGATAAATACTTATAAGTGGAATATATAAAACAATTGCAGTATTCTTTTCGTATCCTCTGGTGGTACTCAGCATTCCAAGGGAAGTTTGAAGGATCTGCCAATTATTTCACAGTTTACATTCCCACATCCCAAGGATCAGTATAAAGGCCGCAGAGCAGGATTGGACAAAAGTTCCTGAAGATTTAATTAGAAAGGAGGAGTGCCTCATGTCATTCAACAGCAGTTCCTGCAACTAAATGGGGCTGGCTTGGGGAGCTAAAGGTCAGGGGCCATGTTCTGATCTCTTTTATACTGGCATAAATGCAGAGTAATTCCATAGTCTTCAGTGGTATCATGACTATGGAGGTACAATAACAATCAGAATGTATCAAGTGATTAGCACTTATCCACATTTTCGTCCAGTGATCTCAAGGTATCAGTGTATTTGTGATCTGCATTTGATGCCAGAAGAAATATTCAAATAGGTTAGTTTCTCTTTAAGGGCAAAGTTGCTGGGCATATTCTTTTATTGCTGTGATTTATCTGGCTGATCTTACATCCATCCAATACAGTCAGTGGAAATGTTGGATGTGCAAGATGTGCAACATTGGGTCTTGATTCCATAAATGCGAGTTACATATGGGAACAGAGTTTTACAGATGTGCAAAACTTCAGTTTAAGAAACTCTGTTGTTTTTTGTTCATTCCCTCTGAGTTTTGCTTTGAGTTCTCAGGTTTGAACCCAAAATCTCAGAGCAGCTGGAACTACAGTTTCACACCATTTCAAGTTAAAACCATAAATCCCTCCTTAGCCTCCCTCCCCATGGATGCTGTTTGTGCAAAACTTGGCCAAGGCTCATTGGAAACCTTTGTAAATGTCAGACCCCAGTTTGTACTAAGGTCTTTCTTGGACAAGCTCTAACTGACTTCAGTGGAAGTTTGCCCAAGTAAGGACTGATTTAAAAACTGCATAATAGAGGAAGGAAAGTAGAAACGGGGGATCAAATCCTGATGCTCTTATTCTGGTTTAAAAATAAAATTAAAAAAAAAAATCTTTAAACTGACAGGATTTGATTTGCTAACTCATTACTTCAGTTTGACAGCAGTGTAACTTCATTGATTCCAATGACAATACACTGGCATAAAGCTACTGCGACAGTGATTGAGGTCTGTATTCTTTAAGTTTCACAAGACAGTTCTCTGCCTTTCTAACCTTGTATGCCAAGTTTCATAGAGGAGGAAAGTTATGTCCAAGTTGCCCCCCTGAAAACAAAGTTGCATATAATAAAAGCAGATAAAACTGAAAAGTAGTGTTGGGGAGACTGTACAACACTGTAGTAGAATATTTATTTTGTTTAATCCAACTAATTTTCTCTTTCAAGTACATATTGCCCTTTCCCTGCCTGAAATAATGTTTTCCCCATTCCCATGTACTGAGCTCCCATTGACATTAATTGGCAGTTTCACGTGTGGAGGCCTTGCAAGGAAAATACACTTTATGGCAAATAAATTATTTATTTTTTAAAAATCAGTTCCATCTCCTCATATCCTCTCTCTTCCAATGGCTTCAGTCAAGTAAAAATTCTAATCCTCTTTTTGTGACTCCACAATCTATTGTTGCATGAAAGTTTGATTTCTGGTGTTTAATCAAAGTCCATGAGACTTACACATATGAATAACAAAACTTTGCATACCTGTAGCACCTTCAGTCCAAGTATTTCAAAGTGCTTTACAAACATTAATTCATGACGCCTCACAGTATATTTTGAGGCAGGATGGTGTTACCCTCATCAGTGTTGTCATTTTGCAGATGAAGAAACTGATGCACACAGAAGTTAAGGATGAAATTTTCAAACTTGGGTATTTAAAATCAGGCAGTTAAATCCATATTTAGGCTCCTAGAGCGCAATCCTGCTCCACTGGAATTCAATGGCAAAACTTCCACTCACCCCAGTGTTGTAGGATCAGGCCCTTAAAGGAGGTTTGATTTTCAGATGTTCTGAGCATCTGAGTGTCCCATTGAAATCAGTGGGACTACAAGTGCTCAACATCTCTGAAAATTTAGTTCCCTGCAATTTAGGTGCTTAAATACGGAATTGTATAACTTTAGCTGGCCACATTTGACAATTTTGATCTAAATGACTTGACAACATCACACAGAAAGTCCCTGGCAGAACTGGGAATGGAACCTTGACCTCCTGATGCCTGGTCCTCTGTTTAATCACAAGACCATTCTTTCTCAATTATCTGTACAGTATCTAAGGACAAGATTTGACTGTGACAAAAAGCACACTGTATACTTAGCTAATACCTGTGTACTTGCACCAATATTTTGATGTTATGTCCATTGAGGTAAATGAGAGTTTTATGTGTGAGGAGTGCAGGACCAGCCTAATGGTTTGCAGATGACTTTACGTTTGGTTAGATTGTCCCCTTAAATGTAGCCTTAGAATTAGGGGCTGCACATTCTTGCACTACAGCTAGATGAGCTCTGGGAAAGAATCACGGGTGGGATTTTCAAAGGAGCCTAAGAGCCAACTCCCACTGAATTTCAGTGGGAAACAGGATGTTTTTAAAAGCTCCCAAAGTGTTTAAGAACACAAGTCCCTCTGATAGCCTGAGATTTGAGCTCCTATATGCTTTAGGTACTTTTTAAAATTGGGGTGCCTAACTCCCTTAGGCTTCTTTGAAAATCCTTGCTTATATCTCCCCATTGCTGACCAGAAACAACTTCCCCTTCTCGCCACACTGGAAATCTCTGCCCTGCACCTGTCCGCTTCTGTCGCACCTGCATGGGGGATGTAACAGGTGCACAGGTGCAGCAGCAATCTGTGAAGGTCACACAGGGGTATGTGAGTGGGAGATGAACCGTATACAGTTCAGGTGTTCACATTTTAAAAGGATGTTGCAAAATTGGAGAGGGTGCAGAAAAGAGCCACAAAAAATGATTCGAGGGCTGGAGAAAATGCTTAGAGTGAGAGACTTACAGAGCTCAATCTGATGGTTTTACCAAAGAGAAGATTGAGGGGTGACTTGATTATAGTGTCCAAATGAATATCCTTGTGGGGAGAAAATAATGGGTAGTAAAGTACTCTTTAATGTAGCAGAGAAAACTTAACAAGAACCAATGGTTGGAAATGTAAAACAGACAAATTAGAAATTACATTTTAACAGTGAGGGTAATAAAACATCAGAACAAACTGCCAAGAGAGGTGGTGGATTCTCCATCTCTAGATGTCCTGAGATAAGACAAGATGCCTTTCTGGAAGAAATTCTTTAGCCAAACACAAGTTATATTTTAGTCAAACATAGGTTATTGAGCTCAGTACAGAGCTAAAGGAGTGAAATGTAATGGCCTGTGGTATACAGGAGGTCAGGCTTGATGATCTAATGGTCCATTCTGGCCTCAATATCTGTGAATATGAATCTTACTGTTGTTCATATCCATGCAGCCAACTAGGAGCAGGGCAAAATCTGGCCCATTATGATGAATTTTATACTATTATGTCTACATACAAATTGCATTTTAAATGTCAAGAACTATATTAAATTGCAAAGTCACAATCCAGAAACTGCTTGCTTTTTCAGGCCCTCCAGGGAAACGAGGTAAGAGGGGCAGAAGAGGAGAGACTGGTAAGTTTTCACTTTTGGAAGCAAGATGTCAGATTTTATTTTGGGTAGATGGGTTTTTCTCAGTATTTTGTCCGTTTTGTGCAAATGTATCTATTATTCTACTGGATAGATGATGACTCAGCTACTTTATTTTGGTTTGCATTTTTTCTTGGGGGAAGAGGAATGCACCTAGCATGCCTTATTTTTGTTCTTTGTTGCCTGTGATCTATAGGAAGAAAAGATCTGTTTAAAAAAAAAAATTCTGATAGAAGTTTTGTGATCCTTGGCATATAACTTGTGGCCTTCTAAATTGCTTTCAATCTCAAATAGTCATTAAATTGTAGGCCTGCTTCATAATACTTGATGCATCTCTAGAACCTTGAATAGTTTTTATAATTTCTGACATAAAAGCCATTGATAATAAAACTGGTTATTGATAATTCTGTAATAATTTCAGCACTCTGAATCTTCTCTCATTTATACCTGTGCACATCTGCATAATTCCATTGAAGTACATAATGTTACAATGGTATAGATGAGTATAAAATCAAGCCCTTTGTGTTTAGAAAAGATCATGACATGAGGAAAAGGGAACATGTGTTATGTCTAAATAGACTGAACTTTGTAAAATAAGCTGTTGATTATCAGGAATTTGTAGCATTTAGGATCTTCTTGTATTAAAATCCAGTCTGTGTTTGTGGCTGAAAATTTGCAAATGCAACACATAAATAAAGAGAGGCATTTTCTTTGTGTGGAAACTACACTTGGGGCTTGATCTTCCCAGGCGCTGGGCACCTTCAGCTCCTCCTGACATCTGTGGGAGTTAACGCACTGATCACCTTGCAGGATTCAGCTCTTTGTCAGGATGGTGTTTCTAGAAGTGGCAGAGAAATGGGTGCTTCAGATCCACCTGGTTATATTAGGTATTTCCGGTTATCTGTGAATTAATCTGGCAGATTAGGAGAAATTTACAGTCTGGTTGATTCCCATGAATCTTAGTTGTTCACAGTAATCTATTGTTTTGTCTTTTAGGTAGTTATAAATTAGAACTTTATTTTGTTCTTAGAAAATTATTTCCTTCTTTTTCTTGGATAGCTAAGGTAAAGCCAAACTCTGATAAAATTAGATCCACTAACTTTGATATGTTAATCAGTTTACAATACTTGCTGCAGAGACAAAAGTTATTATACAGCGGGAATTGCTCAGGTTGAATTTGGCTTTACAAATGATCTTGACAATTCAAATGAACTTGGCAGCTACCTTGCAGTATGTTTGACTTTTTGTTTTACACATCAAATAAACACACATTAAGATATTAACAGAGGAAATTGATCTCTTTCCTTTAGAAACAGACCCTGCACATTAAAATGCTATTTGGAAATGTTTACCAGTATAAAGAAATTACCTTAGTTACTAGACAATAAAGTCACATTGTTAAAAACAAAAGCCTGACAATATCAAAAGCAAACTGAAAATACAGCTGTTGCTATTTTATGCCCCTTTTGCACCTCACTTTATTCAGAAGTTAGAGGGAGGCCATGAGAGCTAATGAAAAGCCGTTGATTTGGGAGCTGCAGCTGCTCCACTTAATAAGAGTGAAATATTAGATTTGATTTGCAGCCCTTTGATAATGTTCTCAAGAACTGCTGTACAAAAGCCTTTGAATCTAAATAATTGGAAAAATGTGCAAATATCACTTCACAAAGTGTGACATTTTAATAGGGAGCATTTTATAAGTGGGTCTTGAAAAAAGACAGTGATGAAAGGAAATGTCTGTAGAGTCAGGTGATCACTGGAACTTCTCCTTATTGGCAGAGGAGGAAGGTAAGAAGATCTAGATGCAAGTATTTCTGTCTTAATGCCAAGGTTAAATGCCAAGGGTAAAAAAAATTTGTGTAATTTTGCAGACAAGATGTAATTTAATTCCCAGTTGCATGGCTAATTGAAACTGGTGGATATAAAATATATGCACATGTGAAGTCTGAGAAAACAAATTGTATTCTATGGTTAATCTTTTTTTGGCCTGCCATGAGACTGCATGAAAATAAATAAAAAATAATTAACATGAAATTTGCATGGGATGGGTGAAGAATATTTAATTCTTCAGCAAAGTAACTGCATGTGTTCTAGTCTTTGGCATCACTACTAGTCTCAAAGAACCACCGAAGAAAAATGTTGTTAAAGAACAAAATCTAGACAGTATGTTGATTATGCTAATTTTATAATCATGTGGTCTCATTTTTGGCTTCTTGCATATGAATCTTTCTTACTAACGTCATAAACTTATATACTCTTTTTTTCTCTCTCTCTCTCTTTTTTTCCCCCCTACAGGACCTCCTGTAAGTACAGTTGATACATTGTTCGGTCTCCCAGGTTAACCAGGATCAGGCAGAAATGCGTTTAGACCCTGTTAAGTAATCTCCATGGTGAATGGATTATATTTGATCCAGAGGAAATTTAGTTATTGTTAGTACAGTGTAAACTTTTACTAATTTTGCTGGAGTTGAATGATTTGTTTGGAAACTTATTTTTCTTAAACAAACCTTTAAAACAGTAAAACTTTACCTCAGCCCTATAGATAGCATTTTTGGATCAGAATAGCATGTAAGTATGTTCTGTTCATTTTGTCTACTAGTTATAAATGTCTGTTCGGTCTGGTATAGAAACGTTAATCAGTAACCATGCCAGAAGACTGAACCATACAAATATAGGAAATGATTCAGCAACCTTTACTTGCACTGAGTAGTAACTTATTCTGGTAAAATAAGCTCCTTGAGACAGGGACTGTCTTTTTGTTATGTGTATGTACAATGCCTATGGCAGTAGAGCCCTTATCCAGACTGCAGCCACTATATGCTATTGTAATACAAATAGTAAAAAATAATACTCAGTTTTAGCAAGGGTGGTAAGTCTGGCCATAAATTTGTTTCCGACAAAATAATTCCATTTTTTCTTGTTCACACCTTTTCAAACTTAAGTCACGCTTCTTTTTCTATGTATAGTATTTAACATATGTATCTAAAGTATTCATATTTGTTGTGATACTATACAATCTGAAGAAAACAATGCAACCATAAGAATAATATCTCCTGTAAAGAGATTTTTATGAGACTTGCTCTTTTCTTTCCTTGGATTTGTCATGGCATTTCCAGTCTTACTTTCGTGACCAGATCATCTTGTCAACTGAGTGGCATATGTATTTTAGAATAATTAATTAATATCCTCAATTTCTGTTGTCTGACACAATCATTTTAGCATTAACTGTAACTACCGAGTAGTAACGCTATAGGAAACATTTAAACTTCTAAATTGTCAAAATGCTTAGTGGCTCACTTTGGCAAACTCATTTGACAGACTATCAACGAAAGAGCAGGCTTAATGCACACTAGTGCTCTTTAAATGAAGGAAATGCTGCTTTCCTAAATATCTTTTGCAGTCTCTTCTCACAAAATGTAAAGATCAAGCATTAATCAGGTTATAAATGATTTTCCTACTGCAAGAGAATTTAGCAAAGCAGATAGTGAATTCTGAGTATGCAAATCTTTACTCCTTGACATCATCTCCCTACTGTTTTAGCACAGTTCCATTTTTTTTTAAAAAAGGAGAGTCATACATTATTAATATAACCCAGAATTAGCTCCAAGGATGATGGGTAAAGTTTTCAAAAGCATCTAAGTGATTTAGGAGCCTAAGCTCTATTTTCAAAAGTGACTTGGGCACTTAGGAGTGACTTTCAATGAGACTTATTCTCTGAAGGATGGAATTTTCAAAAGCACCTAAATCCCATTTTCAAAGACTTTTCAGAAGTCTAATTGGGAGTCAATGGACTTTGGCTCCCAAGTTCCTAAATCACTTCTGAAAATGTTTTATTCTAGCTTTGACCCTGTGAACATAGTGGTAACCCTTAAAAACTATACCATGGTTATCACCTGGGATCCCACAGTAGTTCTGTATATTTAGAATAGTGAATAATTATGGTACCTTAGGTACCATCGTGTAGTAGCTGCAGGTGGCTATTGCATCTTCAAAGGTGACCACTGAAATTTTAGCTGTCTTTTCCTACCTATAACCAGTGTGTCAGGACGACAATCCAAGTCCCATGGATTTTTATTTTTTATGACCCAATAGAACATTCTACGATTTCTTCTTTGACACTGACATACTGTCGGCAGCACACCTTCCATCTATCTTATTCTCTTTCTGCCACGTGCTGCCCCTCAATCTATGTATATAACTCCTACTGATAGCAAGAGTTCCATCAAGGATCCAAGGCCGTAAGTGGCCCTTTTGTTAGTTATTTTTAATGTTGACTATGTTTTATCTTGAATAATGTGCCTTGCCAAAAAAAAATGTTCACTGTATATATATATCTATGCCATACTTGTTCATCTGTAAAATATAATCAAGTGTAGAGGATCAATGGCTGTTCGAATTTAAATTTTCCATTAGTGTACTGCACATGTTAGTAATGTCACATGTCATGAATATGCTCTTAATGTGTGTCATACTCATTTCATCTCATTCAACCAGGGTCAACCAGGGCGAAATGGCTATCCGGTAACTGCTCTATCATATATTTATGAGAGCTTTTTTTGCTCTCAGAAACATTCTTTGCTTTTCTGTCTTTTTGTTTGTCTCTGCCTTATTAACCTTCACATGAACTAGGGGAAATTCACCCTTCCCTGATGTTTCTCACGTGCCTATAGAACATAAGGCTTTTTTTATTTTTTAAATGTTTGCTTCTTCATGTAGCAGTCCTTTGTAAATGGTCTAGTGAGATGGACATGTATAAGATATGCCATAAACACTATGCAGTGTTTGATACTAGAAATGTTTTGTTTGTTGAACTTGTGTATTCCTACGCACAAACAAATAATTTTTTCACCGTAATTTTAAATGTTACTTAAACTGGATCCTGCATATCAGTTTTCTCTATCAGAAAGCTATTCGGTTGGCATGTTGAACCTCCATATCCTCCACTTGCATTGTATTCTGTTCCTTTTGGCTGCTTAGTTCTATGCATCTTGAGCAAAGTAATTGCTAATATAATTAGCAGTTGCCTGCAAAGCCTGTAATAGAGCAATTTTGTGATAATGTATATAATTCACTTTTGTGTCCTTCATTTACATCTTTATGGCTTTCTGTCTAAAAAATGGAAATGTATGAAATAATGCATCTTTTTGGAAAAGCACCAATAAGAAGTTTAGGAAATAACCAGTCAGCAGCACAAGCTTGAGTTATATTATCTCCTTTGTGGGATCCAGGGTGTGACCAGTATCATATATATTTTTGAAACCAAGTTACAAAAGAGGATATTGGATAAATCTGAGAGAGACTATAATTGCAGTACACAGTAATTGCTTAAGTCTGGTTCTGATTTTATTTTAAGCACTTACTGGTAGTTTGGGGCCTTCAAAACTTGGGTTTCATGTTCGAATCAGGCAGTTAAATGTCTGATTGCTCAGTATGTGTTAACAATTTGTGTGTGTGTATGCAAACCACAGCATTGGGGCACTCCAAATTAGAGGTCAGGTGGAAGCTACTATGCAAATCTATCCCTAAATATCTTCAGTTTACTGTTTAGTTTACCAGGGTGGGACGGGAGGGCAGAAGGAGTGTGTGTGGAAACACCAACTCAACCCTATCAGTAATTTAAAGGCAGCATTGTGATGAAATAGCCAACAAACAATACAGCAGAACTGCATCTAAAGAACATGGACATGCTGAAACTCCATTATAGTTAAATACTGTAGCGTGAAAGACCTAAATTGCTTCAGAGTACAAATTGCAATTCCATTCGTAATGTTTAGACCAAAGTTGTTCTGTGTTGGGGAAAAAAATATTTGACAGTAATTCTCTTCTGCCTCATGGATATGCCTACATGTTCCGATTACAGAGGATGGTGTTTCCAAAGAACCCCCAGAGAGCTAGACTCCCTGGCCATATGGAGATTCAATAGGAACTGGGTACCTGGCTCTAGCCAGAATCGTAATTATCATTGATGCATGGTGAAGAGAATGTAGGAAGCAGAAAGAAGCCAGATTAAACTTTTATTGCTTGGCTTGAGATGTAAACTGAGAAGACTTGATCTGCAGATCATTAATTTGTCAAAATGATGGTTACAGACATATGTCCATAGAGTTTTTAACTATAAGCGTATTTAGAGCCTGAGAGCACTATCTTTGGTTCCACTCCATCTACTTTGGGCCTGTCAAGGTTCCTCCCCACTCTGAACTCTAGGGTACAGATGTGGTGACCTGCATGAAAGACCCCCAAAGCGTATTTTTACCATCTTGGGTTAAAAATTCCCCAAGGTACAAACTTTTACCTTTTGTCCTTGGACCTTATGCTGCCAGCACCAAAGTGTTACACAAAGAACAGGGAAAGAGCCCACTTGGAAACATCTTTCCCCCCAAAATATCCCCCCAAGCCCTACACCCCCTTTCCTGGGGAAGGCTTGATAAAAATCCTCACCAATTTGTACAGGTGAACACAGACCCAAACCCTTGGATCTTAAGAACAATGAAAAATCAATCAGGTTCTTAACAAAAGAATTTTAATTAAAGAAAAGGTAAAATAATCACCTCAGTAATCAGGATGGTAAATACCTTACATGGTAATTAGATTCAAAACATAGAGAATCCCTCTAGGCAAAACCTTAAGTTACAAAAAGACACAAAAACAGGAATATACATCCCATTCAGCACAACTTATTTACCAGCCATTTAAATAAAACAGAAATCTAACGCATATCTAGCTAGATTACTTACTGAGTTCTAAGACTCCATTCCTTTTCTGTTCCCAGCAAAACGATCACACAGACAGACAGACAGACCCTTTGTTCCCCCCCCCCAGCTTTGAAAGTAACTTGATTCCTTATTGGTCAGGTGCCAGTGAGGTTATCCTAGCTTCTTAACCCTTTACAGGTGAAAGGGTTTTGCCTCTGGCCAGGAGGGATTTTATAGTTCTGTATACAGAAAGGTGGTTACCCTTCCCTTTATATTTATGACAGGGCCCTAGGATCCAGGGGCTACAAAAGCTTCTAAAAGCCACTTGTGTCCTCCACCCAGGCTTCTGAACATGGCTTGGCTGGACTAGAGTTCTTCAAGGGCTACATAGTAAAAATTAGAATTGAAGTAATGCTGAATGTAATTTTTGCCATTATTAAATTAAATGCATAGAGCTATCAATTGCATAACCTGAGGCAGATTGTTGATTTTGTGTCCACAAACGTGTGTGTGTGTATGTATGTGTGAAAGGAAGAGAGAGCAATTTTGAAAAGTGCTCAACATTGACCTAACTCTGCTACCGCTGAATGGGAGTGATTGGAAGAATTTGG